AGATCTGAGGATCCCAGTTCAAAGCCAGCCTGGGCAGGAAAGTCCATGAGACTCTTATCTCCAATTAGCCACCAGAAAACCAGAAGTGGCGCTGTGGCTGAAGTGGAAGAGCACTAGCCTTGAGCTGCAGAGCTGAGGGACAGTGCACAGGCTCAGAGTTCAAGCCGCAGGACCAACCAAAAAAAAAAAAAATCATATGTTGGTTGCCTGAAAATAGTGGCTTAAGAAGACAAGGGAACAAAAAATAAAAAGCTTAGTAAGGGGTATTAAAGACAGAATAATGAGAGTAGTGTTGCAGTGATAATTTGGAATAAAGGAAAAGGCCAAAAAGGTCAGAGAAAAACACTAAGAATTTGGAATGTCAACAAGATATTCACATGTAAGAGTGCTGTGGAAAAAGCTGTAGCAAAGGTAAAAATTTGGGAGTGATGGTGTTGATGAAGCCATAGCTTGACCTCATAAAAATTCAACAGATTCTTTTAAGACTTGAGAGTAGGCAGAAAGGAATCATTGCATAGGAAGAGCCAAGACATAGAGGGTTATCGAAGCTGAGAAAAAATAATTTCAAGAGACATCTTTATGCTCTTGTAACTGAACATATGCAACCACCATTCAGTTAGTTGGTCTCAAATCTGCCGATCATCTTGAATTGCTCCCTTTCACATTCTGCTTTCAGCCCATGGGTGGTCCTGCAGAATCAACTGTACTATATGGAGCATGTTCTACCATTTCTGCAGCTACTACCCTGTCCAACGCTCCCAGGGCAACACGATGGCCTTATGAATTGCCTCGCTGTTCCTCTTGGCCTCCACAATCTGAAAAATCTGAATATTCCATCTCAAGCATAAATGGCAAAACATACTTTGCCATTCTCCTCCTCTGAATGTTCTGGTGGCCTCTTCTATTCTTAGAATAGAATTCATGGTTCATGCTGTGGTTCCCATGACCTGAGTTGACCTGATCTGATCTTTCTTGAGTTCTTAACATCACTACTCCTCTCAATCTGTACAGCCATGCTGACTTCAATCTGTATAGCCATGTGGACCTTCCTTGGCTTTCAACACCCTAAGAGGCATTCAATAAGTAAAAAGTTAAACATGGAATGTAGGTCAGGTTTGGTAGTACATGCTTGTAATCCTAACACTTGCGAGTCAAAGGAAGGAAGATCATAGTTCAAGGCTAGTCTGGGTTACCCAATGAGCACCTGTCTTAAAACAATCAAACAAAAAAGTGATCTAATATTGGGTAATATAAATTCCGAGAAGAAAAATAACAGATTAGAAGAGAGTGATGGAAGACTAAGCCTTTTGCTTTATTGTGTCTACTCCCTCAACTCTACTAGACCCATACCAGCCCGACCAGCACTATCACCAACTCATGTCTTCCTGACTTGCTTCTTCTTTCATTCTATACGTTGTCAATTACTATCCAAGGCATGGGGGACCCAAAAGGGGAAAACAAAGAAGAGCATCTTCTCTGACCTTGTGGGACTGTCATAGTAGTGGAGGGTCAGATCACAGACAAAATGAATAAGTGAAATGTAGTGTATGGTAGATATTGGTAAGTGCTAAGGAGATAATCAAGCAAGGGGAAGGCATGGGAGGATTCTTTGTGATATGATAAATGTGAGCTGCAATTTTAGGCAGCACGGTCCAAGATACTAGGAGGAAACATAGAGAAGGGCTGGGGCTGGGGGATGAGACACAAATCTATAGCATATATCAAGAGAGGAGGAGGGTGGCATGTTGGTGAGAAATGACTTGAGAGAAGAAAAAGAAGAATGTGGAGAGAACAGAGAGAAACTGTGTTAGATTGCTCAAGGGACATCCATTGTTCTCTCCTGTATGTTATTTTCTTCACACAATTTACATTACCAGCCATTCTAGGACATAGTTGTCTTTCTATTTATTTCATATCTTTCTACTTCTGTAGAATTTTTTTCCCATGGAGGCAGACTTTGAACTCTTTGACTATAGCAATGTCAGACCCACACTAGGAACTCCATTTTAATGAAGACACGGATGAGTAGAGGGGAGAGGCCAGGTCACAATGTTAACTGCAAAGGCAGAGCAGAAAGGCTTGCTGAATTTGGCAGAAAGGCTTTTGCTTATCTAGTCCCTGTTCTAAGTCTGACAACAGCACCCAAGCTGGATGGGAATAAACCACAAAGGAATAGGAGGAAAGCAGTGAGATAAAGGCATCAACCAGTTCTGAAGTTTCCTTAACAGCACTTTAATTAGATGCTACAACAGCTGTTTTTTTTTTTTGCTATGTTCTTTTTCTCTAACTTACTTAGGATATTTTATCTTCTTAAATAGACAGAAAACTGTGCATGTGGTGTGATTTGACCCATTGCATCCTTTTGGAGAACTGGCAAATCTTACTCTGCTTATTATTAACATAATTGCAACTAAGGTGTCTTAAGTCTCATGTTAAATCTTAGCTGTAATCTCATGTACTGTGCTGTTTATTTCATGATTAGGTAAGCATCTTAAGAGAGAGACTGATTAGGATGTATTGTCTTCATAAACTACTTTGTTAAATGGAATTCCTTGGTACAACTACTTAAAAGTAATTCAGAGAAAAAAAAAAGATATCTCGAAACTGCAGAATATAAACTATAGACAAATCTGAGGAACTGAAGGATGTTTCTATAATGAAATAGGTGCAAAAACCTTATAAATGTGAAAACAGGAAGTGGCAAGGTGGTTCAAGTGGTAGAGCGCTAGCCTTGAGCTGAAGAGCTGAGGGACAGTGCCCAGACCCAGGGTTCAAGACCCACGACCGATAAAAATATTCTTTGGGGAGGTAGCTCAGTGGTAGAGTGCTCTCCTTGCATGCATGAGGCCCTGGGTTCCTGGGTTCAATTCCTCAGCACCACATAAGCAGAAAAAGCCAGAAGTGGCACTGTGTGTGGTTTAAGTGGTAGAGTGCCAGCCTTGAGCTGAAGAGCTGAGGGACAGCGCCCAGGCCCATCGTTCAGGCCCTATGACTGGCAAAAAAAAGGTGAAAATATACAAATAATGTAATCAGAAAGATAACTTCATGCCTTGCCTCATCATGAACCCTTCCACACCTTCCCAGCTATACTGCTCTGTTGCAAAAGGCAGCACCTTAGGAAATCAGATAATGACGCAAAGCTATTCAAAAGAAAACACTGTAGGGAGTGAATTTACCTAAAAATGTTTCAGATGGCGGCGTATACATGCAATCTAAAGAATAAGGCAAATGCAGGATAGGAAATCTCTTCTATTGTAGACATGATGAGTCTGTGGACAAGTGACATCTTTAAAGGCATATGACAGCTGAGTAGAAACAGCCCCAACAAGACAAAACTCAAAGCAGAGAACTAAACACAGAGAATGAAAGAATAATTGATTCCATGCAGCTCTGTTAATATTCTCTGCTGGAAGCAGTGTCATCTTTATTAACCTTTACACTTCCATTGGACAAGGTCTTGTCTAATTTCATCATAAGAAAAAGAAAGTCACCAAAGAAAACTAAGACATGTTTTCTCACATCTTAAATAGGATTGTCACAGATTAAAACAAAAAGTATGTGCAGTGCTTCATGTGGTTGCTGTTAACCATTGTAGAAATAGTCTATGCTATCTACATACTTAAAAAATTGTCCTCCAAAAGCCCTTACGTAGTCTAGGTTGACACACTTAATGTCATGTAGCTTTTCCTCGAATGTCAGCACAGCAGAAGAGAATTTTAATTTTATGCTATCAGAAATAAGTAAGGTATACGTTTTAAAGTCACTTTCAAGATTTTTGTAAAATATGCATTTTGATTACTTTGGGAAGTATGCATTTATTTATAATATAAGCATGAAAGTATATTGAAGAACAGTAGCTTAAAAGCAGCTTGATTTATTTTCTCCTGCCTGCAAGGTTTCTCTTTCTATTTGGATGAAATAAAAAATGGCAATGATGGACAGCTACCCAGCTATTTCATTGCTAGGTTACATATGTGCCCATTTAACCTGCTTGCTGACAGCAGTTTTCATAGTGTTATGTTCCCTTGTTTCCTGGGAGAGAAGGGAAAAGAAAAAGTAGATTGACATCATCCTCTCTATATCATGAGTAAGCTTAAGAAAACCTGGCATCTCCATGACTTACACCAAATATCAAGATAAGAGACACAGAATAGATAAAAAGGACATTTTTCTCCTCTCCCCTCCCCTCTCTGCTCCCCTCTCCTCCCCACACCTTTCCTCTCTTCTCCTTCTCCCCTCCTATTCCCTTCCTCTCTCTTTCTCTTTCCCTCTCTCCTTTTCTCTTTCCTTTCCTGTGTGTCTCTCTTCCAAAGAACTGTATTCTGAAAACCTAAGTTTGTTTTATGTGACCCTTGTAAAGTTGACCTTAAGAGAATGCCCCAAATGGCAGCAGATCCTGTCTCTACTCTTCCAGTTCTCCACCTCACACAGGCACCAGCCCTGTGCACTCAACACACTAAGGTTCTGAGCCCCTTTTAGCAGCTTCCCTGGAGTTCTGTCAGAAGATGATACTCTCCCTCCCCTATGTGAGCTCTCCAAACCCATCCCTACATGCTTACCCACCATGCTTTAGGGCATTCTTCCCCAGAATTGCATGATGTTGAGCTCCTACTCTATGTCTGCTTTGCAGCAATCAGCATGTCATAGCCTCCTCCACATTCTCTGGTTGCTCCTGGTGAATCACTTGACTTTGTTGGAGACATTCTTATAACCTGTAAAATGTGAAGTTTTACAATGTCTGTACAAATATTGACAGAAATGCAAGAATATTTTCTTGCAGAAGTGATGAGTAAAAATGACACTGCTAAACAGTCATCTTGGGATGCATGACACTATCATTTTCTCCATCCACAGTTCTCCCTCTTCCAAATGGTGTGCACAAACTTACTGTGGGTAAAGTGTTAGAATTTTGTCCTTCTCTATGAGCACCATGTTGCAAGGTCTTTGCCCAACCTTCTAACACAACACACACAGTTTTAAATAAAGAGCTTGTTTTTCAGATTCTGGATGAAGATGACACTGATGTTGCCTTGAAACAAGAAAAACAGGAGATTCCACTTTTAAGCAGAGGTAAAAATATCCAGTTTGCATAGATTAGCCCTAATACTTGGACCATTTTTCCTGTAGCTTATGCAACACCTGACATATAGATCGGAATTGGCCAGCAATTTGTACCTACAAAGATTGGTTGTTCTAGAAGTGGGGCTAGGGCTAGGGAAGCCCCTTCTTTGCCAAGAGCAGTGTTCCCCAAACTGCTACACTGTGGGGAATTCCCACACTCTTGCCACTCTCTATACACTGAGTTCCATTTAGTATTTTGCTGAGAATTTGTATCAGGAATACAATTTTCCCAAAATATGGGGGCTGGGAAGGTGGCTCAGTGGTAGAGTGCTTGCCTTGCATGCATGAGGCCCTGGGTTCGATTCCTTAGTACCACATAAACAGAAAAAGCCAGAAGTGGCACTATGGCTCAAGTGGTAGAGCACTAACCTTAAGCTGAAGTGCTGAGGGACAGTTTTGAAAATTATATTACCCTCACACTTTTCTTGGTTTTGTTAATTTTTTTTTGGATATAGACATGCATTTTTTATCTAGGACTGGCCTTAAATCATGATCCTCCTATCTGTGTTCCCTGGTAACTGGGTAACCACTATGAAACATCATGCCATTCAATGAATGAGATAGGACTCTTGTTAACTTATTTTTTTGGCCTACACTGGCCTCAAAGCTCAACCCTCCCAATCTCTACCTCCCAGATAACTGGGACTTCAGGCATGAACCACTTCCTCCAGCCCCTATTTTACATTTTTCGTTCTTTAATGCTTTTCATGTTTCCTCTGGGATTCCAAGGCTGTTTTTGTTTGTTTGTTTGTTTGTTTTATGGTGAGAATACCGTACAGAGGAGTTATAATTACATGGGCAAGAGAACGAGTACATTTTTTATCAAGCATTGTTGCCTCCTCTTTGTTTCCCCTTCCTATCCCTTCCCATACTCCCCACCTGCCCCCACCTGATCCTCCCCCCCCCAAAGTTGTAAAGTTCATTTTTCGACATAACAACTTGTACATCTCATTGTTGCAATGGGTCCACCTGTATCCCTAGTTAAACGATTTGTTTTTCCCTTCCCCTCCACATCTTATACCAACATCAAATACAGTGAAAACGGGTTACATACAAAGCAACAAAGAAATAATCTTATAAATATGTTAGAAACAATTGCATGAAAGGAAAAAAACAAAAAAAATTGAATATTTATCTTGGGGTTCATTCCCCTAACATCACCTTATCTGACCTTTTCTGCTTGACTCAGACATACACTAGTTATTGCACATAAGGGAAACCATGGGACCTATGTTTCTTTGGGCCTGGCTTACTTCACTTAATATAATTTTTTCCAAGTCTTTCCATTTCCTAACAAATGGGGCAATGTCATTTCCGAGGCTATTTTAGCAAATGTATTTATTCTTTCTAGTTCATAGGATACATTGTGTTTCAGCTTAAGACTTGAACTTATTTATAACAAAGTTGACATTTTATAGTATCTAAGCTCATGGTAATCTCCCTGGATAGAAAAAACCTGGAAACAAATTAAACTCATTATGATTCCTTTATTATATATTACATTTTTAGTATTATGCATATGCTCTTTGATTTTAGCATATCACTGGGTCCAAATGACAGTGTGAGTTATTTTCATTGCCATTGTCTTTATTCAAAATGTTTCAGTCCACTTGGTGAGTCTCTGATCCTTCGCTGAGACTGATTTTTACTAGTCCTTCTGCCTATCAACCCACTCCATCATTTTGTGTTCACTCTTGGTGATAAGTCCTTCCCTCATCTTTGTTGCTAACTGTATTGGCCATTCATTCACAGCTTTATTTTTGGATACCTTAGTTAAGTTCTTAAGAAATCACACTTTTTCTTGCTCATCTTAATTAAAATAATCTGCAGTTCCACACCAGGATTTCTTTTGCAACGATCTTTTCATTTTAAAGGCAAACTTTTTTTTAAGCTGTATCCAACTATTACTGTGTCTCCAAGTGTGATTCTGTTAGATTTCCAAATTGTGCTGAAAATTTTATAATATAAATCTTAAATTTGTTTTTAATTTTAAATACATATTCTGGATTGGGCAGAAATAAATTGTGAAATATTTTTAAATGATTATAATTATGTTAATTTTATTTTTTTATTACTTTGAATGCAGATCAGTCAGTAAAACCAGTAGTGTCTACTGTGTGCTTGGAAAACCTCTGTTTTCCATTCTCTTTTATATTTTTCAAGAAGGAGCTTAGTAAGTCCTCATCTATTCACCTATCACTTAAGCTTCCCTTGATGCTCTTTTCTGTTTACTTGGCCTTCAATAGCCCTGAAATTGTTGACAACAAATGTACTTAGCAGAACAAGATATGTGGGCAGTTATAACAAAGTGTCATACAAATAGATTTTTAAAAAAAGATATGTTGACTCATTGCTCATACTGTCCACAAGATACTCTTAGCCAATCCAAGGGTTGGAGATCTGCACTAAAACTATGGACTGGAAACAAACCATCAGTCTCTCTTTAGCTATAATCCTGAGATTCCTGAATAAGAAGCTCAATTAGAAACTACAAGTGTGTTCTTGCCTTAAACAAGTTGAACTTTTTCATTTTTTTTCAATTAAGATTTGTCAAAATGTTTTCAACTTGAACCTAGCATAGGATAATAGAGGGAGACTAGTGGTTGTCTTGACAGTTAAGAAGAGCTGTTCACTCCTCTATACTCTGGTAATAAACACAGTAAAACAGTACAAGTTCTCACAGAGGTTCTTCAATTATTATATATACTATATATTTTATTAAAATTATTATAAATGTCTTTATGAACACATTGCAGATAATTTTAAAATAGGTACAGTTTACAAATGGATGTCTGACAATATATTTATATGTAAGTAGTTAATGAACCAATATTTCTTTTGGTTCATTTTACTGCATGAACATCAAACTGTAATGGACTTCGCTTTTGCCTGTTTTCTTTTTTGAAGAAAAAAAGCAGTACAACGGTATTCCAGCAATAAATGGAAAATCTTCATTGCTTAACCAGAAAAGGTAAGTGTATAATTGTACAACTTCCAAGTGGGTGAAATTATAGTGTTGAAAAGTAATTATCAATGTTTAAATACAAGAAGAAAGTTAATAATAGCAACAAAGGCAATAAGAACGGAACCACATTTTACAACATAAAGAGCAGAAATTCACCTTTTCCCAGCCTGTTTTATTTCTTTTGTGAGGACCTAGAAAAAAAAAATGAAAGAGAACGGGCAAGTAAGCAAGTTAAATGGCCATAATAGCCAAGGAATTGAAAATGTCACACTTAATATAAGGTGACTATGAATTAATGAACTGATTTTTTTTCTGTGTGGCTCATTGACTTACTGTTAAACATACATGTAATTATAATCTTCTCATTCTAGAATTTACTTGACGAGAATTTTGTCACTCTCAAAATCAACTGGATATTTTCTTTTTTTAAAAAAAGAAAAATGCTCATTTTCTATTTACTTTGTTCTGGTGAATAACATTTTATTTCTTATTACTTGTTATATACACATTGTTCTAATAGAAAAATTATATATATTTATGGTATACAACATGGTGCTTTGAAACACGGATATGGTGTCAGCTAAGTTAAGCCAATAACTTGCAGATTGTCTCACAATGCACTTTTTAAAAGTAGTTGTGCAAAGGTGCTGCTATTCAACAAATCAGTTTATAAGTATAATGTTTCTTGATTGATAGCACCTCTTTCATTATCCTCCCCCATCTCTCCCAACCCAATCCCTGAATATTTCAATATCCTTTAGAATTTAAAAACATGTTTTCAAGGATTCAACTACTTACCTCTTCTACAAACTTATCTAGGCTGCTTCCAGACATGCAGACTGTGCCCAGAGACACCATGAAATAATGGCAGGAATAACAACAGAGGAGCTTTCATTTGCACGAATGTGTTGACAGGGGAGTTAATGACTCCTCCACTCAAATCCACCTCTCTCCTTTTCCCTACCACCTTCAAAGTCAAATGCAAATTCCTTAGCATGGTGCAACTTCCCTTCACTCTCCTTAGTTGTCATCTTGCTTCCCAACAGTTCTAAATTACTTGCAACTTTAACACATCCTTCTGTCTCTTTGTGCTTCCCCTTCATTTGAATTCTATCTACAACCTGTATATAAGTCTCCATCGCTCTTGCTTTCGGTCTTATTTAGCTCAGTGGTTTCTTCTTTGGGGCCTTGCTACACGCTCAGACAAATGGAGATGTTCACCAAATCACTCTTGCTGTTACCAGGTTGCGTCATAATTCCTTCATCTTCAGTGATTATATGCTGAATGACGTTTATGCCTTGCCACACAAGCAGCCATTCACAGTCAGATGGAATCATCCGACTGGACATCTATCCTCATATTGTAAACAAGCCTCATTTGGACAGAAACAGTGTCCTGTGTCTATATCAGAATCTCTGAGAAGTCATTCCTGAAAACTCATTCCCAAAAGACAAGTCACACTCTACTGTGAGATCAGGAATCCTGTTGGATATCTTTTAAAGAATTCAATAATATCTCCTTCGATCATCTATTTATTTTCACCATTTTTAATTTAAGCATTTTCTTCGTTTTCCAGTCAGTGAATTCACTCCATAGAACAGAGTCCATGGGGTTCATCCTTGTGTTTAGAATGGCATTTGCCTCACAGCTGGTGTTCAATATTTATTTGACACATTCAAACGTCTAAACATAATTGTGTGTGTTTCACACATTTCTTTTATGAAGTTGTATTTTTTTTTTGTCAGTCGTAGGCCTGAACTCTGTGCCTGGGTGCTGTCCCTCAGCGCTTCAGCTTGAGGCTAGCGCTCTACCACTTGATCCATAGCACCACTTCCGGCTTTTTCTGCTTATGGGAATCTGTTGAGGAATCGAACCCAGGGCCTCATGCATGCAAGGCAATCACTCTATCACTGAGCCACCTTCCTAGTCCCAAAGATGTATATTTTTGTAGCACTGTTGACTCATTAACACAATATAAATATTAAGACTGCAATCCAATCTAAACAACCTTAATGGAAGGAATTTAAGAAACACATTACTAACAATAGTAATCATGAGGCAGGTGAAGTAAACATGGGGAAAATGGAGTCAGAGACTCAGAGACAAACACTGTATTGGTGCATAGCTTGATTTAATGAACTGGCTTTTGTTTTTCTTTTGTTTTGTTTTGCTTTAAGCTTTGCATTCCTTCACTGAGCAGAAATATATAGTAGAAACAAAAGCAAAAACAAAACAAAAAACTCCCTCATTTTACTGTGCCCACTTGACCACATGGGCAAATTCAATTCTGGAAAGCAAATAAAAGTAGCTTAAAGAAAGATACTTATCCTGGGAATGAAACATGTAGTCAAATGACCCCTTTGATCACAGAAGTGTTTACAAAGGGAAACTATTTATATTGAGTAAGGACATCTGTCTTAAAATGAGCTTCTGGTGAAACCCATCCTTTGTTTAAGGGGTATTCCAGGAAAGTAACCATTGATGCCACAGGTTCCAGTTACTACACAGTTTTACAGCAAGAATAATTAAAGACATATCAAGTGTCCAGAACAAAGGGGAGCACTCAACCTCAGAGAATGTAAATCAATCTTCAACCTACCTTTTTATCTTAAATACCCCTGATGCCAGTGCTCCTCTTTACATGCACCCACATGCCTGTCTGGGTATATACAGCCTTTTCCTTTCCTTTGCTTTACTAATAAACTTTCTTGGTCTCTATGTCTAAAATATTTTTTACAACACCATTACAATCCAATATCCAAAGCAAGGACTTCTCCCTCTGGGGACCTCCTCAGCCTACTTTGGTCCCAAGGAAAATGATATGGATAGTCATACTAACAATTTTTAGGTACTACTTGCTGAGTACTTACTGATGCTGAGCAATGGGCTAAGCTCTTTATATTTGCCGTTTAACTTCAGCACAACTCTATGAAGTAGATTCTATTATTACTGATAAAAGCCACCAGTTCTGAGAAGAAAGCATTCTGCTTCTGTGAATTTTACCACCACTCCTAATACCACCATGAATTTCCAGTATCATTAAAGTAAAATTAAATAAAATAAAAGATTTTCTCAGTAAAATTTCAGCATTAAGGGAGTTATAATTAAAAAATGAGCATTTAGACTTTGAGTGTTCCCTAGCAGACAAGCATTCATTTATGTGTCCTCAATTTTAAAAAGCCAGCTAGACAGTGTAATGAATGCTAATGAACTATTGACAGTAGAAGCACATTACATTTGATATTAACTACTATCAGATTTTCAAAAGGCCCTCCTAGTGTAAACGTATAAAACTCTCTAGAGCTGTGATCTTAATTTATGGATGTCAGCATGAAAGGATCACAAAAATCTTATCACTTGAAATAAAATGCTATAAACTTTTATTTTATCCACTTACCCATCTTCACCTCCTGTATTTTTACCGCTGTTGGCTTCTTGTGTTTGTCTGAACCCGTCAAACTCAGGGCTCTGGTCTCACAATGTATCACACTAACTTAGATGCCCTCCTTACAACTTTTTTTTTCGTTGTTGTTGTTGGTTGTGAGGCTTGAACTCTGGGTATGGGTGCTGTCTCTCAGTTCTTCAGCTGAAGGCTACCACTTGAGCCACAGTGCCACTTCTGGTTTTTTTGTGGTCTATTGGAAATAAGAGTCTCATGGACTTTCCTGCCTGGGCAGGCTTTGAACTGTGATCCTCAGATCTCAGACTCCTTAGTAGCTGGAATTACAGGTGTGAGCCACCGGCGCACCCAACTACAACTTGTTTTCTATAACAAGGTATCTTGTTAAAACTTGGGTCAGATCGTCTTTCTGATATGTGGGAAACCTTGCCCTCCCCATGCTACAAACCACTGACCTGTCTCAGTCTCTCTTTCCATTTTCTGCTTACTCCTCCACCAAGCTCTGACTTTCTCATTCTTCCTTGACTGGCCCTTAAGCTTTTGATACCACAATTACTTAACTTTCCTCCAGATATTCAGGAAATATTTATCTTAGCTACTTCTTTTTCCTCCCAGTTGAAAGCAAAACTTGAGTTACTTACCATAAAAAATATCCAAGGGGTAGGTGGCCCATGCTGTTAAGAATAATTTAGCCTCAGTCAATTTATTATGACTAACTTCAAACTTAGAAGCTTACATGTTATGAGTAGATAGCAATTATCATAGGTAAGATTTTTCTGTGTGACTACACAAGATGGAACTTTTAACACCAACTTGCAATCCTTGCTTTCATTTATATTGACATTTCACCTGTTAGAGTGAATGTTTCAGAAATGATTTGTATGATAGCTAACGTGGTTCCTATTTTCAAATTGTAACTTTAGCTTGCCCAGGGTGCCAAGGGAAGATATTAGTCCAAGTTCTGGACATGAAGCTAAGGTTTCTGTGAGTGTTGGTGGCCATGTTTCTTCTTCACTAATGACATTGTCTCAGAGCACATCTGTTAAGGAAATAGTGAGAAAACTCACATCTAATTTAAGGTAAAAATAATTACAGATACTTTTTATATTTTCTTAAGCTTCCTAAGCACTGGAAATTCTTGTTTTTTTTGTGTTTTTTTTTCTTCTACTGAATGTTAATGTTACTGGCTAAATTTAATGGAATGATTTTGCCATGTCTCATAGCTCTACTGAATTAGATATGCTGTTCTTTGATGTGGACAAGCACCAGTGGCTCATTCCTGTAAGCCTAGCTATTCAAGAGACTGAGACATGGAGTATTGCATTTTGAAGCCAGCCAGATCAGAAAAGTTAGCCAGACTGTATTTGTAAAATAAGTAGCAAAATGCCAGGGTAGAGACAAGGCTCAAATGGTAGAACAACAATCATGAGCAAGCAATTCACACAAGTGTAGAGCCTTAAGGTCAAGCCCCAGTAACCACATAAAAACAAATAAAAAATCAGACCTATTGTCAGTACCTACCTATTGGAAAGCAAGTTAAGTAACTATACATCCAAACTCTGCTGCCATATCCATACATGTTTATCTAAGTGTGATAGTATGAATTTAGTCTGGTTTCTTATTTATTAGTTTTAAGTTTCAGACATATGATTTGTTGAGTAAAATGGGAAATATGCAATAAACTGTATTTATGCATTGACAAATATGTGTGTGCCTGCATACATCTGAATAAATGTATGAGTAGCACTTAAAATGGAAAATAGACGTATCCAATGATAAGTTCATTTTACAAGTAAGCCAGGCTCTCTTAATAGTGAAAGTATCATTTTTTGAGTCTTTACTATATTTTAGGCATTAACTCAGGTGCTTTTTAATTAGTTTTCTTACTCCTACAAATTTGTGAGATGTGTATTATATATTTTTTGTGGATGAGAAAATGAAGATTAGAGAAACCAAGTAGCACATTAAAATTCACATTAAAATTCACAAAGGCAAATTACTGAGCTACTAAAGACAAGACTGGAATGTAAGCCCAGAGTCTCTTGTTTGAAATGTAATGCTTTTAACCGCTGATAGAAAGGTTTTCCTGCTTTCTATACTGTCATACTTAGATAAACATGTATGAGTATTGCAGCAGAGTTTGGATGTATAGTTACTTAAACATTTATGTTCCATTCTAGATCATGCAAACTATAGTTTTCACTCAGTTTCGTCTTGCAAAAGTATGTTCCTTTCTCTAGTCTGTATTTCCTGAAGTTTTGGAAAATACAGTCCTCAGGAGTAGCTGGTGCTCATCTTTGTCAGGAATTAGAATGGCCACTTTGGACAGGTGAGTGCTACATCTCTTGTCCTGGTACCTTCATTCTTCTGCTGTGCTTGTCTTCCTAGGGAAATTCTTCAGTATTTTGTTCCTGACTGTCAGCTACCACCAGGATTTGAATACACATCTGTAGAAGAACTTTTGGAAAATTCTGAGGTAAGTTGTCTGTTTTTAAATCTTTGAAGAAATGAATAGTCTAAGTTTAATCTTCAGTGTAGAAAATGGTGAAATGTTACCTGCTAGCAGGACTTAAGTGAACAAAGACAGGATTCTTACAAGTGAGTGATGCACATAAAGCTGCGTGTGAAATGAGGCATAAAAACAGTAGAGAACATCTTCCAGATTGAGAATGGCAGGTTGCAGATATTTCCCTCTCTCCTTAGCATCCTGTCCTGAAAAGCTAGGTGAGGACTGTGAAGATCAACTACCTCAGAAGCTTAGAGCCCCTGTTTCTGTAAGCCTCAGAGCTTGTAGAATTGATTGGCACACGTGGAAAGACTGTCAGTGAAAAGAACCCAGTTAGTAACAAGACTGGCTTGCTATATACCCCAATGAATCTTGGTATTCTCTAATTTTCGAATCTGTAATTGTTTCTACCTGCTTACCACCTCTAATGCTTTCCCCTCTGCACTACATGATGGAATTGTTCTTGTCATAGCCAGGTGTGACTGCTGGGGCAAGCAATTCAGTAGTCATTTACTTTACTTGATTTTCAGTTGCTCACTTCCTCTCTCTTGAAAGACTTCTTGTATCTTCCATGATGATACACTTCTCATTTCTTTGCTTTCCTTCCCTTTATCTTTTATTTGGCAGTTCTTTTCTCCTTGGATTCCATCATGTCTGTGAGTTCATTTCTGTATTGTGTTCCTCTGTCTACTAAAGGCCATTTCTAGGTGATACTAGCTAATACCTGGCTTTCCAAATTTTCCCATATGCTCATGACTCTTTTTCTCTGGTACTCCCTTCCAGAGTATCTGACTCCAACTGCTTTCTGCATGTCACCTTCAAAAAATTTTAAAATATACTCTTATTGTTAAGGTGTTGTTCAGAGGGGTTACTATTTCATAACTTGGGTAATGAATGTTTCATTTTTTGTACAATGTCACCCCTTCCTTTACTTTCCCTCATATCATCTTTTGAATAGTCATTACTTCACCTTGATTTGTAAATCTGCATGTTTGAAAACACTTTATTTATGTAATCTTTCTTTTGGTATAAAGGAAAATATAATTTACAAACATATAATTTACTAAAATATAATTAACTAAATTGGTCTCAGGCTTAAAAGACCCGTAGGACCAATGCTGGCTAGTTCTGGGCTTTGATGCTTTTAGTACTAGATATTTAGATATTATAACTCTATTGTAGACAACACACTCTCTAAAGTTAATATCCTTTCTTATTATCATTTATGAAAACAGCTGGAGCAATGCCCAGAACAGAAAAACAAAAAGCTGAAAGAATGTTTCAACCAGGTAAGCTTCTTCTCAATGTAGCCATTTATATTCTGAATGACCCTGTGTTCTAAAGGGGAAACAATACACATTGGTAAATGTTAGGTTTAGAAGGAAATCAAATTTGCATTTACTTATCAAGACACATATTAATTTATAGTATATCACATATCAAAAAACAACTCTTTTTGACTTTTAAAATGTAACTGTTTCCATAATATAGAGCTTATGAAACACTTGGAGGAGAACTGTATTTTGAACAAAAACCAGGGCATTCTGAATCTAAGAAATATAGCTACTGAATCTTTGAAACAATAGTCTAAAACAGAAATTGTAGGTTAAGGCTTTAAATTATTTCAGACAATTTGATATCCCTTTTTTCTAGTATCTTATGTTTAAGTTTATGATTTTTCCATTATAAAAGTAGTTATATAAAACAATGCTAAGGAATTTAAAGAAAGGAATTAAAAAAAATAATCCACAGTTCCAAACCAATCAAGTCTACTATTTTTATTTATTATACTTCAAACTTCTCTCTCTGCATAGATTATTTAAAAGTGTAAAATAATGTCATCTGTGTATTTGTTCTTTTGTTTACGTGGCACTGTGGCTTTGACTTCAGGGCCTGGAGCTTACTAGGCTGGCATTCTATTACTAACCTATACCACCAGACTTTGTCGATCTGCTTTTTCAAGCTTAGAAGGAAAATAGAGTCCATGGTGTCTTTCAGTCCTATTACAGAAATAGCTAAAAATCATAAGGCCTTAATTCTCTTATTTCACAATGGGAAAGTAAACTTGGTCACAAAGTGAGGTTGGCCAAGCTAACATAGGGATTCATATTAAAGCTGAGATGACCATTGAGTCTCCCATACTCATTCTCTGACATTGCATAGGTGCAATAGCTTTCCTTTTTCTTTTTGGCAAGACTGGGGTTTGAACTCATGGGGCTTCTCGGTGCAACAACTTTTCATGGCATCAGGAGCAACATACAGATGTTAAGTCTCCATTACTCATTATCTCTTTGTGGACCTTGTATATCAGGTCCACCACTAGCACATACTTTAGCATTGCTTTCTGTTGCTTTTAGACATCTTCTGGAAAACTACTGTAACAACATGCAGATCTGTTACTAATAGGAAGCAAATGGCAGTCCTGATATTGTGCAGACCGCAACTATAATCAAAGGGACTGCCTCATCTCTTCTGTAGATGATGGTGTATCATTGAATAACCTTGTTTTGTTCTGTTTTTGTTGTTTGTGGGACCTGAACTCAGGGCCTGGGTGCTGTCCCCGAATTCTTTTGCTCATGGCTAGCACTGTAACACTTTGAGCCACACTTCCACTTCCAGTTTTAGGGTGGTTTATTGGAGATAAGTATCTCATGGACTTTCCTGCCTGGGCTGGCTTTGAACGGTGATCCTCAGCTCTCAGCCTCCTGTGTACCTAGTATTACAGGTGTGAGCTACCAGTGCCAGGCTAAACTTCCAGCTCTTTACTGGTTAATTGGAGGTAAGAATCTCAAGGATTTGTCTCCAAGAGCTCTCTTTGAATCTGAAGCCTCAGATCTTAGCCTCCTGAGTAGGATTATAGGCATAAGCCACTACACCTGGCTGTTGCTCTCTTGAAGATGTCTGTTCCTCTGCTCAGTTTCTTTCATTTTATTTTCATGCTCTCAACTAGATTATAGCCCTGGAAGTTAGTAATATTGTTGTATCAGACCCTGTGTCACAACAGCATTCAGTAAGTACCTTCAAATGTATCTGGATTTAATATTTGTGTATTAAACCAAAGTTGATTATTCCTGTCAAGATGTCTGCCCACACACACATGGGCATATTATATCCCTGTTTATCTGGTCCAAAATTTATAGATCCCATATTTGTATCTTATTTTTTTTACACAAACTTGTTAGGATTTTAGAGCTACAAAATTGCTCAAGCTGAACTTTCTAAATTTAAGGCAGAAAACTTAAATTTCAATTTAATAGTGTTTCTTTCAAACCATAATTCTATTCTGAATTATTATAGTGTGGAAAGAATTCCATTTCTGATCTGCCACAATACCTTTTCAAAAGTAGGTTTAACCAGCAGAACTAAACCTCTCAACTTGTTCCAATTTGTCTCCTCACCTTAATTAAAATATCTTTTTTTTTCATTGAGCATTAAAATTTGCCACTATTGTCATCTAGGCACCCTCAGAAGACGTTAACCCAAGGAAAGCAGACTAATAAATCAAGAACATGGATAGTATTGTTTGAAGGAAATATAGCTTGTTGGTTATAGAAGAATGAACTTGTAGAGACTATTAATGCAGTGTGTGTGCTATGTAAATATTCTTGATGTTGAGGCATAATTTTATTCTTCTCTTGCTTTTAATTTTAAATATATAATGTATGAGTCATAGGAAGTTACAGATACTTAACCAAGCAGTCCTGGGAAGCCATCACTGTTTTCTCAAGTGGTCAGATTTTACAATAGAGTGCATATCAAAATCAGGAAACTCAGTAGTGCTATTAGGAGTAGGCTATGTGTAGTTCTATGTCCTTTTATCAGATGTCTTGGTTTGGGTAAACACTACTTAAATCACAAAACTTCCATCATTACAAAAATAGCTCCTTGATACTCTCCTTTCATGGTCACACCACTCTGTGCCCACAAAACCCTCCAACTTTTGGCACTAATATTACTATCGTCTTGCCATTTCTGGAAAGTGGTAGAAGTGAAATTATGTAACCTGAGTTATTTTCTAATTGTCTTTCTTCATTCAACATCTCTTCAGGTTTATTCAAGTGTTTCATCTTATGCTCCTTTTTATGATTCATAAGCAATACAGCCATATTTTCATATAATGATGTTACTAATATTGTATATCTAATTTTTACTTTGGGGGTTTTGTTTATTGTGGTTATTTTTGTTTTAAGAAAAATATTTCTTGGCTTTTATTATTCAGAATGGCAAAGTCTAATGTTGTAGAATTCTGACAACTAAGAACTCTAAGTGACTGGTGACATGTAAACTATATGTGGCCTGTGTCCTTATTATAGCTGAGTTGAATTATTTGCCTCTCAAAGAAAAGGAAGAAATGACCTTGAGTTTTTATGGAGAGTCTACAGGAAGCATGTGGGAAGCTTCTTGGTGGGTGTAGGGGGGATACATGGTCGTTGTCTAGGTAAGCTGCTTCTTGCAGGGTGAATTAAAGATGTTCAAAGTAATTAACTATAATATATTTTACAAATCAAAATAGTTAGAAGAGCTGATTTTGAATATACTCACCATACCAAAAAATGATGAAAGTTTAAGCCTATAGATAATGATATGTTAATTAGTCTGGGTTGCAAATTACTCAATATACACATGAGTCTACACAAATAGAAAGGTGGATATCTTCCAAATTTTCTGCATGTAGCCCAGCAGGAAGGATTGGCAGGTCTGCAGTTCCCTGGGAGTAGATGCTATACACGTCTGGTCTACTGACTCCTCACTATTTAATATTTGCTTTCTGTCTCAAAAAAATGGAGCAATGAACAAAACCAAATGTATTTTACATGGAAGATACATGCCAGAAGAAGGGGCAAATAGAAACACTAATAAACACGATGTGGAATAACAAACTAACATTCAAATAAGTAAATATGTAATTTGATGGTGCTCTAAATAACTGTTCAAGGCTGGTGTGTTAGAAGAAGAGGAAGGCAAGTTCAGATGTATGGGTAAGGGGCAGCTGAAGAACTAATGTTCCAACCTAGTCCTGAGGCAAAAAAGGGAGCCTCTTGCGGCTGTGGGGCTGATGTTACCAAACTAAGAACACAGCAAGAGGAAAGGGCCTGAGGCAAGAATGAGCTTGGTAAATGCTTGGAAGGAGTCAGACTAGAAGTAAGAAAATAAAGAACTAGGGACAGCCAGGTCAAAAATTTTAGAGTCTGCTTCTTCATGCTTCAAACAAGCTTCCAGGCATTTTAAGACTCGAAAGTCTGAGAGTTCTTTACATATTCATCTGCAAACCCCATAAGCAGTTACATTTTCAAGTTCTATTACATATACCCAAACCCACACAATCAACGTTTCTAATATGGAATACTATTTTGGTTTCTGCTCCCTCAGGCTCCTCTCAATTAATAGAATATGAAGCATGCAACTAATCAGAATACAAGTTACAAACATAAATCCAAGTTAAGTACTCTAAATTGGGACGTTAATGTTTCTTAATTTAATGGAGACCCCACACTCTCCTCTCAGCTCTAATATCAGAATTCTAGTGGAGACACAATGCCCTTTCAATAATTGTATATTTGTATTATCTTTTCTGTTAACATGAAAGTTCTTGGGAGCACAGATTACCTTGTGCATCTTTCTAACACTTGCAATTAAATTAAAGTCCTTGAATTTAAGAAGTAGTTGGTGAATGATTATTAAGCAGAACTACAGACAGGCAAGTTTTTTTAAAAAGGATTTTACAGAAAGAAAGCAAACTTACGAGAGTAATGAGTAGCTAAGAGATAATGAGGAAGGGCAGTTCACAGGGAAGGTTGGCACATAGTGGGGAATGTGTTAGAAGAGGCACAGATTGGTAGGGTAAGCCCAGAAGGCATTTGATGAGGGCATTTTACAAATTTCCTGGCATCCTAGTCATATTAGAAAACAGAAATCTCCTCATTACAGAAACATTAAAATGTTTGTGATGGGATTTGTCCTGTATCTGCTTTCTCATATTCCCCTCACCCCAGTCCTCTCAAAATGTTGATATAAGTGATTAATATCATTCTAAAATAAAAGCATCTGGCCCTCCATTGTGTCTTTCTACTTCATGGTGCCTCAGGCCAGCATACCATCTTGGAAAACAACTAAGACCTTTAAATCAGCTGAGGGCATATGCTTTCCATACTCTTTGCACTGCAATAAAGAACCCAAGAGAGGGAGGGAGCAGAATGCCTCCTTCCATAGCTTCTGTGCTTTATGGGGACACAAAAGACTTAAGTTATAAATAACACAACGTCATCTTCAAGTTAGCCCAAATGACTGACCATCTGTCATTGCCTGTGAGTTACTGGCACTGTTGAGAGAAGGCAATGGTACTTGCCACCCTTATGCCTTGAAGAGTTTCCTATCACTCATGGGAGAGCAAATTCAACATTCATAGGGCTTCTTCTTCATTCCAAAGCAAAGCTTTCCAAGCCTACCTTGGTATGCCTGTCAGCCTTTATAATGACTGTATATTTGCCACCTTTTTCTCTTCCTCTTTCATCATATAGTAAGCTCCTTAAAGGTATCAGCAATTTGTAACCTGTACCACACTTACATAGTAGCATGCACACTTGGCACATGTGTGCAGAATTGTAATATGGAGTTAGGGTTAACTATGATGTTATATTTATATAGCTATCTGTATCTATATCTAGTTTTATATATCTATATCTATATCTAGTTATCTATATATCTTAGTTACCTTAGTTATCTATATTATAGAATTAACTGTGATCTTAGACTGTTTTAAAAACACATTGAGTCTATTTTTTAAAAAAAAATATTCCTAGATCCAGAATGTATACATGGTCCATTATGAAAAAAAGCTAAAGAGAAAAATTCAGTCCCTCATTTATGATGTGAACAGAAGAGCAATACTTACTGAAATCTCTTGGGGACAATGTGAAGAAAAAAGGAAGAAAGCTGAGTGTAAACTTAATGACCTTCGTATGAAAGTGGTGGTACTGCTGCAGAAGCTTCAGCTGGTAAGTGATAAGTGTGTGTGTGTTGCAGAGATGTACAAAGATCCTGTCACCAGGTCCCTCCTGACTTTGTCATTGTCATAGTGACCTTGAATAAGTCACCTAACCTACTGCCTTGTTGGTTTCAAAGACCAGGTGAACCAATTTTGAAGAGATGTATTAAAACATTAAAAAGTTATTTTCTCCTTTTCTCTCAACATATATCAGAATCTGTGCTGTGGGTAAGCCATCACCTTTGGTATCTCATCCAATACCATGTGTCCAATAGGAAACTTGTTGCAACTTTTTAGAAAGCAAGATATTTAATTTTAAGTTCATAAATCTTTTAAAAAAGAAATCCTGAGGGACAGCGCCCAGGCCCAGAGTTCAGGCCCCATGACCAGCAAATAAAATGAAATAAAATAAATAAAAATAAAAATAAAGAATGCCCCTAATCTTAGAGAAGAAACAGCATGTAAGTATAATTAGTATGAGTTTTATTTACATATTTTTAATGCATCAAAAATCAAGACTCAATGATATATTGAACTAATTAGGAATGACCTTCTATAAAAGCACATGAAATACTGATACTGTACAGAAAAATGAAAATGGAATAACCAAGATTGCAAAGCCATTCTGTAGGTTCTAAAAGTTAAGTGAGAAACCCAAGGCAGCATGGTGAGTTCAAAGAGCATGTTGTCTTCAGATTATAGCTCTGAGTACTGACTGGGATGGGAGACTGAGTTGTCCTGGCCCAGGAATTGTTGGAGAAGCAGAGGTGAGTCACTGAAGAAAACCTTGAAGGATTGAAGACGGCGTTGGCCATGAATGGGCTGGGGGAGAGACAAACCAACTCACCATATACCACAATCAAAATATGAGGAACATAGATCTGAAGTCAGACTGCCTGGGTTTCCATCCTATCTCTAAAATTTTTAATGTGTGGGTTTATTTTTCTATCCTCAAGTATGCATCTTTTGACTTACCTAGATTTTTTCTCTTGTATTTAATACAAAATGAAATGCAGAAAAGGTTTCAGAAGGGAGAAATCTCCCTTCCTTTTGGTGATCTAGGCAGCAATTAAAATGCTAAATTATTAAAATAATAAAGGAGGATTAACACTAACTGTTCTCACATTATCGTAATTGCATTTGTGTTTCTATCAACAACACGTCAGCCGATTCTTCATGTTTATTATTGCTGTGTGGTTTGAGTGGAGCTCTTTTGGTTCTTCGGCTGGGAGAGTTTGTACATGTAACTGACTTTTATAGGGAAGCTCTAGTTTTGGAGCCTGGCACATGGTGTAGTTTTGTGATTTTTTTTTTGTTTCAATAACAAGACATTTTAGAAAGAGTAAAGAAATTCTATGTCATAGAAATTGGATAATGCTTTCAGGTAATCAAAAACATGAAAAACAATTCTTAGTGCTCACAATAGAAAAAATCTATGTTTATGAAAAAAATAGAATGAGAATAAACTACTGAATTTAAAAAATACTGATTTACCTTCATGCCAAATATGTGGGTTTTCCCAAAGTATCTATTTTATTCAGAAAGTTTGGTGGAGACACAAACGTTGTTAGTGTCATGTGAAATAGCTGTAGGGTGTTACCCTAAGAAATGTAGCCTAACTGAATTATTCTCATTCCCCTACTTGAAAGTTCTGTTTGCCAGATCAATGGCCACAGAATAAAGCAGAGAAGGTGGCTTGTGAGGGAATGTTTAGAACTAGGACAACTAGATCATTTTTAAGAAGGAAGGAGCTACAAGTAGAACTCGTCACCACTAAAGGAGACAAATTACTCTTAACCACTTGAAAGCATAAATGAGATCAAATGAGAAAGCATTTGAAAAAGTTTCAAAGCACTGCTAAATACAGACAGGTGGACTTGGAAGACCACCTAGATGACAGAGGTAAGCGGTGGGTCCTCTTGCCTGGTGTGACTGTGGCTTTTCTCTTCCAGGGTTGTCCAGTGGGTGACCTGGAACAGATTGATGCTTATTTAGAATCTTTGCTTCAAGAAGATAATCAACTTTTCCGGAAGACTTTAAATAAGGAGTTTCTAGATGTGGGACATTAGTCTCCAGAAAATAATGAAGGCATTCAATGTTAAGTCAGGAAAGGTAGTTCTTTTCTAAAAAAAATAATTCTAAGAAAATTAGGAGATTCTTTTCAAACTTTTTTTTTTGTAAAGTTTAGCTTGTTTAACTATGAAAAGCTCCATAGAGATGGGAATTGCTTTACAAGCTAATACTTCCTAATTTTACTTCCTAACTCTTCCTATGCTCTCTCATATTTTCTAGAGTGTTCTTATTCACATCTAAGGAAAATAAGAATATCACACTTAACTTTGCTTTTACTTCACTGTCAAAACATGAAAACAGCAGTTTTTAAAATCCATATGAAGCTGAGTGAGGTGATGCATGACTGTAATCCCAGCTATTTAGGAGATCAGAGATTAGGAGGATCAAGATTTGAGGCTGGCCCCTAACAAAACATGTGAAACCACTACAGAAAAAAAAAAATTAGCCAAAGTGAAAAAGGGCTTAGGGTTCTGGCTTATAATAAAGTCTTTGCTTAGGTGGTACAGAACTCTGAGTTTAAGCCCTAGTAACAGAAAAAAAAGTCACTAGACAAAGGACTTAGAATCTCATGTGCTTGAAACATGTTGAGAAAGACATTCTATTACTGTAGACAAAACTTAATAAAACTGAAAATATAAATCTCACTCTAACTTTTCTAGTAAACAAATCACTGAATCATAGTATATACATATTGCTCATATGTAAGAATTATTTTACAAAGTTAAGAAATTATATAGGTAAGAAATTTCACATGTATAAGAAATTATGTTTTATACTGTCTTTAATAACTGTTTTGTTTTGCTTTTTGAAAAATGTCTTCAATTTTGGACCAAAATAAAACATTTAATACTCACTTGTAGAATTGCATGATTTAATTTATGTAATGTACATAGTACAAAATTTAGAATATATGAAGTGCGATATAGTCTCTAATTGGTGCCTTTACTTACATTCCCCAGGAGACAGGTTGGTGTGAATTTTCTCAGTTCCTGAGCTTCTACACTAATATGTTTTACCAATGATCTGTGACTCTTTCTCCAGACAGTGTGTAAGAGTCCATGTCAATCATAGCACAGATGAACATTTAGATGTAATAGAATCCAAAATCTTGTTTCTTTTTTTCCACTCAAAATACCTTTCAGATCATTTTATACCAGGGTTAGTATATATAATAATACTAATAAAGATGTACTGAGAGATGATGAGATAATCTTGCCATAATTTTAACTGTTCCTTATTATTCCATTCCAGGAAAATACCAGCATTTACTTAACTAGTCATTTGATGATAGATATTTAGGGATTTATTTTTCCTTTTTGATTTATGTGCACATAATAGTGAATATACTTATAAACATGTTAATCTTACACATATGCAATTATACCTGTCAAATTCCAGAAGTTGACTTGCTGAATTAAAGGATGTACTCATTTGATCAATTTTAATACATGTTGCCCAATGACAGTCCATAAAATTATATATATATATATGTGTGTATGTATATATAGATGTGTTATATATTATATGTACAAGCAGATATGTATATAATTCATATATGCACATATACATATAATGCATATACACATATATAATATTTAATATGCCCATGTAGAAAATAAATGCTTGTTCATTCACACCTTTACCTACCCAGTGAATTAACACTCTCATATTTCTGATCAAATAGGCACAAAGTGATATTTTAATGTCTATGTTTTGTTTTGTACTATGAGTTTGTTTGAATATCTTTATGTTTAAATACTATTTTAAAATTTGGTCTTAATTCACTTTTTAATTTATCAGAACTATTTCCATATTAGAAGAATTTTCCTTTTTTTTCTTTTGTCATTCGTGGGGCTTGAACTCTAGGCTTAGGTGCTGTCCCTGAGTTCTTCAGTTCAAGGTGAGCACTCTACCACTTGAGCCACAGTGTCACTTCTGATTTTCTGGTAGCTTATTGGAGATAAGAGTCTCAAGGACTTTGCTGCCAGGCTGGCTTTGATCTGTGATTCTTAGATTGCAGCCTCCTGAGTAGCTAGGAAAACAGGTGTAAACCACCATCTCCTTTTCATATGATTTGTACTGAAGATACTTCTCTCATACTTTTTCATTTTTAAATGTTTTTATTGGACTGAAAGCCATAAGTGATTATTTAAAGAGTTGACCGAGTGTCTTTTTAAATTTCTTCTATAATCATAGAGAGGACTTTCTTGGGTTAAACTTATTAAATCATCAATATTCTTATAATAATTTTAGTAATTATATTATTAAATCTTTGCTTCATCTAGCATTTGTTTTGGTATAAGAAGTCAGTTAGAAATCACGCTCTGTGTGTGTGTGTGTGTGTGTGTGTGTGTGTGTGCACGCACACACGCTGCACCTGTGCATGTGTGTATTTTCCTCTAGTCACAGCATTGTCCCACAATCATTACATAACTCTTTCCTACTAGTCTATAATGCCATCTTTATTTTATGTCAGTTTTGTACTGAGACTGCTTCTAAAAACACTATTTGAAGGGAAAAGCATTTATGATATTTTTTCAGAATATCTTACATATCCTGGTTTATTTGGCTTTTATTCAAACTTAATATTAAGTTTGAATAAACTTCCCAATTTTATTTGCCATTTCTTACATTCATAGCGATAGTATAGGCTAATGTATGGAAAGTTACCCCCTTTGGAAATCAACTTTTTCTACATACGAGATCACGATAGAACTTTCTATATGTTCAAGTCTTGATGCCCTATAATATCATTTAAGAATTTTCTCCAACTACTTTGTACATTCCTATTTACATTTATTGTAATCAGTGTTCCCTCATTTTCTTATGACATGTTTTATCTAGAGGATTCATCATTTGTGGATATCAATATTGTACTCATCATAGGAATTCTCATGCTAAGCCAGGTGCTGGTGGCTCATGCCTGTAATCCTAGCTACTCAGGAGGCTAAGATCTGAGGATTGCAGTTCAAAGCCAGCCTGGGCAGGAAAGACCCTGAGACTCCTATCTCCAATAAACCACTAGAAAACTGGAAGTCGTGCTGTAGCTCAAGTGCTGGCTGGAGCGCTAGCCGTGAGCTGAAGAGCTGAGGAACAGCACCCAAGCCCAGAGTTCAAGCCCCATGACTGACCAAAAAAAATTTTTTTTACACTAGAAATGTTTTAAATGTTTTTCTGTATCAGCAATTAATCTTTCATTAAGACTTATATGCATAATTTATGAATAATTAATGCACATACTTTATATGGATAAACACAAATTTTGTGTCGTAAGTCCTTCTGTTCTTGATTTATCCCAATTTTTCCTTCCACTAGGAATATTTTTGCCCCTTTATAAACTTAAATTATCTTTCTATACCATTTTTCCTTTAATGTAAAAACTGGCAATAAAAGTTAATGGTGCTAAGAAGCCAATCTTGCTTCTGGCAGACATTTGGAAAACAGTTGAAGAGAGACCTCCACTGGATTCTCTTCACAATTTCTAACCAAACTATCCTCCTCTTCCTTCTTCTTACTCTACGTAAGAAAATTTCTCCATTCTAATAGTTTCAAGTCATTTGCCCAAATAATGAGCTCCAAGTTCTTAGGACCTTATTACACATCTACTAATTCTAATAAAGAAATAGTGTTCTGTTGGAAATTTGTGTTGGAATGTTTGAAGCAAAATTAATCAGAATCACAGTAACTTCACTACCTGTCAGGCATTTCTTTAGTTCCCAGTGGTTCCAATTCTTTAGTAAGTTAAGTAGGTAATCAGTTGTGACTAATTCAGAGACCCAACTACAGACTGAGTAAAAATGAGAATTGGCCAAAGAATGGAGTAAAGTTACAAGAGAGGAACCAGACTGAAGATTTCACAGAACATTCCCATCTAGGGAATCTGGTTCTTGGTAGCAACATCCTTGAGGATCATTACCATCTATGGAAACTTTCCATAGTCCACTCTCCAACTTTGCAAGCTCAGTTGTATGGGGACTTGGATTAGCTTGGCAACTAGAGTGGCATAAAAGTAACAGGCAGAATCCAGTGTCAGAAGCCATGGGGCACCAGAGGCTCACGCCAGTAATCCTAGCTACTCAAAAGGCTGCTATCTGAGGATTGAGGTTCAAAGCCAGCCAGGGCAGAAAACTCAGACTCTTATCTCTAGAAAAAAGTCTGTGGCTTACATGGTAGAGCACTAGCCTTGAGCACCAAGAGGCATAGCGACACCATCCAGGCCAGAACATATTTATAGATACACACACACACACACACACACACACACACACACACACACACAGAGGGGGTGGGGAGGATACAACTCAATACATTTTTCTTCAAAGATTACTAACTACTGAATCTACAACTCTACTTACTACTAATTATCTGGTTGTCTCTAACCATCTAAGCCGCCAAAACACAATGTATGGTCACTGACATGACAACATTATTCACTAAAATACTGCCCTTTCTACTTCACAGAAAAACTGTCTCTCTGGTTGGTTATAGGAACAATTCCATCCATTAGTGGTAATTGACTTCAGTCTCAAAACATTACAGATGAATTAATCCCACTAGCTTTCTGTCCTTACTTAGCCCGTAACTATAAGAGGTTTAAAGTAGCTTCCCAACAACATATGTCAGCTTCAAGTTGTGAGGAATGAGGGACTCAATTAAGAGAGAACATCCACAAAACAAACCCAAGCAAATGGTCGTGGACTGAGAATCACAATGGGAAACAGCAACTCACTGGCTGGTGGTCAGATGGCAATTTCTACACAAGAGACTTATAGGTGGTACAGAACATTTATGATGGAATATCCATCTGGCCTGCAAACACTTCATGAATTTAAGACGCTTTTGGGTCTGCAGGGTCTGAATCAAAAGGCCAATCAACATGTCGATCAAGTTTTTAATACCTTTGACACAAACAAGGTAAGACCTTTTACTTCTCATTTGGCTGTGATTCTTCATTTCCTCCCCTTTTCCTCTGTATAAATTAACCTCAGGTAAAAATTATGCATCCTACTAAACACAGGTCTTCAGACAACCCACAGTTTGTATGTAAGTCAGTCATTTAAACATATTTAGCACTGACGGCATGAAAATAATTGGGAAATAGCCTCTTCACCTTTGGAAATTTTCTGCATGTAGGGAGTTATTTTAAAACCAAATTAAATCTCGGCATGGAATTCTAATGCTATCGTTTAAATAAATCTAATAAGTGCAGATTGATTTACAAAGACTGTTTTCAAAGTATTTAATGCGTTGGTGACATTTTATCGAAAAACAAATTACAGGAATCTGCTTCTAAGAGTGTGATTGCATCTAGACTGGCAGATAAAATCAATACAAATTAGTCAACACATTGTCTGCACTCAAATTAAAAGTTAGAATGCTTAGTATTAACTTTCTTCATATCTGCCCAATTTAGTTTCTGGGAAGTCAAAGCAATTTACAGTTTTCGTAAACTCAGATAACTTTTAGTTTCTAACAATTGATACTTAATGATTGCCTTGAATTTACTCATTCCTCAGGAACTTTGGCATATTTATTTTCATTTCTTAAAATAATACAAAAGTGAGAAGAGAAAAAAAGACATGGAGTAGGAAAAACAATGCAAAAAAATTAACTTCTAATTGTGGAGTTAAATTCTGACAGCTTTTTCTAGAGCCTTCTTTTACCTGTATAGTGTTCTAGAATTCAAAATGTACATGTGCTGACTAGAATAAAAGGGAGGAGAAAATATTAGCAATAGAAAAGTTAGTGATTTTAGAAGGCTATGCCAGCGATAAAGAAGGGATAAATAATTGAACAGAATAAAAACCAACCCACTGTGTTTTGGATGTATGGAATTTAGAAGATTTTGTAGATGCCTTTTTCAAAGTCAGAACATTATTGTCATTATGCTTTATTGTCAAATATGAATTAAATTTCACCCATCTAAGCTACTCAGAAAGCTGAGATTTGAAGATTGTGGTTGGAAGTCAGCCCAGACAGAAAAATCTATGAGATTCTTATCTCCAATTAACACAATAAAAGCTAGAAATGAAAGTGTGGCTCAAATGGTAGAGTACCAGCCTTGAGTGAAAAAGATAAGCAAGAAGAGTGTGGGGCCCTGAGTTCAAGAGCCAATATCACACACACATGCACACTCACTCACCTACAAAATCACCCACTTAATATGACCACATATTCCTTCTCCTAAATTGTACTTAGGATAGCTGGAAGCCAAAGGAGTTCTATTTGCAAGAAGCAGGTTTCCTGTGGGAAAATGAGGTATATTCCACCTTTGATCATAACCATTACCTACATTCTGCATATAGGCACAGAGGCCTATGTCTATTTACCTATGTTCACTGTTGTTGTCCCACTGTGGTTTCTGTAAGCTCCAGGCAGCAGCTTCTCAGGCACTTCCCAGCACTCCTGAGACATTAGAAGATGAGCTACAATTGAGTTTTAGGATGTCACTTCCCATACCCATGATTCTGTTGTTAGCCCAATGCATGTGAGTGGGTCTGGTGGGTCTAAGTCATCTGAATTGGGCACTGATGGCTCACACCTGTAATCCTAGCTACTCAGTAGTCTGAGGTCCAAAGATCGTGCTTCAAAGTCAGCCTTGACACAAAAGTCCATGAGATTCTTATCTCCAGTTAACTACAAAAACCCAGAAGTGGGGCAGTGGCCCAAGTGGTCGAGTGCTAGCCTTGAATACAACACTCTGCACCCACACCCAGAGTTCTCTTCTGTCCAGGAAACAGGGCAGAGATGTCAGAGCAGACATCTGGGCATGCATGCCTTTGGTGTAAGAGCACTCACTGTGTTTCATCTGAAGAACAGCCAGCCCTGTTTCAAGAGCTTAGTTCAAGTGGCATGCAAATGCTGTTGACATTTCTGATTTATCACAGAGACTTTGTGTGTCTTTAAGGAGCAAGTGAGCCTAAGCATCAATGACTTATGCTACAGAAGGGGATGGGGAGTATCTCAACATAAAATCAGGTTGTAAAATGAGAAGAGTAAGGACTGCTTGTTATTAAGGAATACTAGCAAAGAAAACATATCATTGTGCACTGGAAAAAAAACCACATATTTACTTAGATGACTCAATAAAAGCTATGAGATGTCCAGAATCCCTGACAATTTATTATTTCTATGGAACCCCTCTGTGGCTTTCTTCTTCAGTGTTCTGGGTAGAAATAATGCAAAATTCATTTCCTACTTGCTTGCCTCATTGACGTGCTGGTGAAACATTTCAATGGTCTGAGAGATGTGATGATGAACGTCAGTTGTAAAATTTTATATAGCATTAGGAGGCACATGTCCTATTTTAAATTTCTGGGGGCTAACATTTCTAATGTTAAAAACTTTGAAAATGTATGGTTGTCATTTTGCTGGCTTTCTATAATTTATTTGTCTCTTCTGTCAAACTCCTTTTTCATAGCCTTTGGTTGATAAGATACTAAGAAGCTTTGATCTCTGGTTAATCTCTCATTTCTTACCTGGCTTTGGCTTTTACTCCAGCTAAATAAGCCTGGAAAAATAGTGTATAAATAGGTATGGAGTTTAATTGTCATAATTTCTTCTATTGATCCTAGTAGTGACCCATGCTGAGCCCAAGGATTTGGAGAAAAGTGAACTCTTTCGTGCATGATTAGTGAGAATGTAAGTCAGCACGTGTATTATAGAAAGCATTATGGAGGTTAAAAAAATAACATTAAGAATAATAGAATGTGTGCATAATTCAACAGTCTTCCTAACAGATATATACCCACCCAACATAAAATCAGTATGTTGAAGACATGTCTGTGTTCCTGTGTCCACTGCACCATCATTTATTTAGGATTCAAATTTGTTATTTTTATTATCTTTAAGTAGTTGTAAAAAGGAGTTACCATTCAACAAATTATGCATACAATGTATCTTGATGATGTCACCCCTTCATTCTCCTTCATCCATCCCAACACAACCTCTCTCCTCAATTTTCTTAATTTCATAGGATGTGCATAGTATATTATGACTGTATTCTCTCCCTCTTTCTTTCATTTGTTTACCCCCTTCCTCCTTACCTCCTCCCTAACCTTTTAATTCCCAGTTTTACAGCACTTGAAAATTAGTCCCTACTTCTAATTCAGAAGCCGTTCTCATGACTCTTGTTTTATTGATAGTCCTAGTAGAGAAACACAGCCTTGAAACCTATAATGTAGTTATATCCATTTACTTGTGAGTCTGCTATTTTCTACATCCTAAACTCAACTCTTCTGCTCATTAAAAGTCAAGAATCCAGGATTACACATGATAAAAGAGTCTAAGGAGATGAGCTGGCTGGAATAGGGTAAAAATTGATTTTTGTTTTGTCATCATATGAGTCTAGAGAGGCAGATACTTTTTCTATTTTTGGCTTACAAACATTAATTTATTTTCTCAGTTCTAGGGACCAGAAGTTCAAGGTAAAAGACTTTGCAGATCTGTTTTACCCCAAAGACTCACTCCTTGAATGATACATGGGAACCTTCTGGCTATGTCTTCACATGGCCTTTGATGTTAGAGAGGCAGATTTTGATAACAGTAAGTCCAGGTTGACAACCTGAAGAAGTTCTTTGTGGAAAGCTGCTGCTGTTGTTGTAATCCAAGGCCTTCAGTAGTTATCATTAGCTCATTCACAAGTGAGACACATGGGCAGTTAGTTGTCTTGACTTAGCTCACTGGAGACTGACTTCTAATTCACATTGGACCAGGAATGTGTGGAGCTGGCTGCATTTGGAAAGCAGATGGCCAGGGTTTCCCAATGTCCAGGAAACCTGTTAGTAACCAAGAGCCTGTTTTGTAAATATTATGAGAAGCCTCTTTTCATAGACCCTTGGATTTTGTACAGTCACAGTCAAGTCAAGAGCAACCATGACAGATCTGCATAAAGATCACATTATAAAACCAATTTACCAAGTCAGCAGTATGCTTCTCATCTTACCAACACGAGGCTCTCCTTGGGACATTCTAGCAACTCCATGTCTACTACAGATTATGTTTGCTGTTAAGATTTGTGTCTATGGATGAAAACAGGCTCAGTCATAAGTCCTAAACAGATTTTTAAATTCATAGAAGAGATTAGTATGTATTTAACATTATAAAGGGCTTTGTTCTTTTCTTTCTTTAACTTTCTTCAAATGTTAATTTGGTATCACTGACAATTGTCAGTCATGAAGCACACATTAGATTTGTCTGGGTTTGCTTCCAACCATATGAGTACCCATTTGCAGGCAGATGTTTCAATTCATATGTTGCTACTGACCCACCACAGCTGGGAAATGTCATTGAAAAGTGTCAAATGTAAAGAAAAATATCCAAATGTCTTCAGGTTAAGAGGCTGTGAAGACTCATGAATTCATCATAGAGAGTGTTGCTATGAAAATTCACAGAAAATTAATGCTGTTGAAATAGTTTTAATAGGAGCCTTTACTTGGCAAATTCTTATTTGAATTGTTATTTATTTTCTTAGTTTAGAGGGTGCATAGGCCATATAGGACTTATAACTCATTAATAGTTATTTCTGTTTCCATGTGTCATTGTTTTGTTTTTGTACTGGAGATGGAACCCAGGACTTCATACATTCATATGCTCTACTGAGATGTAGCTTAGTGTAGCTCCACTAAGCTTCAATTGCAACCTCATGAACGTTATTAGAACTCTGGAAACTGTTACTCCTGGGTAATATTGTGGAAGCCTTGTTGGTGTTGAATGACCTTATACGTGCAAAGTATGGTGCCTTGCCTATAGGTATGACAAGTACTAATTACATCAGTACTCCAAATTATCATTCTCGCCATGATAACTATTATTTTAATAGCTATTAATAATAGTCTGTCCAGTTGCCCATCTGAAATGAAATGTTTCTAGAATGAAAATTCTAGAATTTAAATGAAGTCAAATTTCCTCAACTCAGTCTGAAAATTCATGGCTTCAGCATACTGAAATACCAATATTTCAGTATTTGTTCCTGAGGTCACTTTGAGCAAATAAATGGAGAAGGACAAATGGTAAAACTATAGTGGACAGTTGATATCCATAGGGAAATTTCTCAGGGGAGGGATAGTAGAAGGATGAGTTATGAAGTGACATGCACCTCTGAAACCCTAGAGAGGGGTAAAAATGGGCTTCTAATCAAGGAAGTGGTGAACACTTAGCAGGATCAAATAGAATCAAGATGACAACACCAGACTCCAAGATGGGAAGCTGAGAGCTTTTCCCTGGGGACAATGCAGCTGGAAAAGGCTGTTGTGATTGGGAATCGCAGCCAAACCCAGTGGTTAAAGTTTGGAGGCCTAAGGAATCCAAACTAGACAAACATTCATGTAAAGCACCAGAGAGCAGGTGGAGGAGAAGAGAAGGACCACCACTTCTGCTAAGTGAGAGGCACTGATTGCAGGGCATGGAAGTGCCTCACAAGAGATCCTTTGGGCTCAATGTTTCCCTGAGGCTAAGCAACTGTGGTACTCAAGACAGGGTTTCCTTGAGCAGCACCAGATGTGAAGGTAGCATAGGTAACAACATGCAGCATCTTCAGACGCTTCAAGCTACACTTCAGTGTGCAATAGTGTCTACTCACAAGTAGCTCACAACCAGGAAGGAAACAAGCAACTATATTTCAGGTATGGAATTCCTCCAATATCTGCTATCTCTTCTAGAAACAGAATTGGATTATCCTAACTTCTGAGGACAATGCTGGGTACCATAGAGAGAAAAGACTTTGAAATAAGGCTGACTGTGCTTAAATCTTGGGTTTATTCACATTCTATTTTAATATTTTATCTTATATGTTTAACATAATTGTGTATTTATTTTCTTTTTTCTCTTTCTTTCTCTCTCTGTCTTCCTTCCTTCCTTCCTTCCTTTCTTTCTTCCTTTCTTTCTTTCCATTTTTTGTTGCTTGTGGGGCCTGAACTCTGGGCCCTGGGTACTGTCCCTCAGCTCCTCAGCTCAAGGATAGCACTCTACCACTTGAGCTACAGTGCCATTTAGTTGTCTATCTCTTAAAATAAGAATGATAAACTACAAGCTCACTACTAGGATTAGAGATTCTAAATAGAAAGTGACCAGCACATTCCTGGATCATATACTATTTGGTTTTTTTTAATTGATAGTGTCTCATAAGCTTTACAATTGAACGTCTTTCACTTCACATTGATCATATCCTGAAAACAGCTGTGATTATTGGCAGGTCACAGATGTTGCCTGGAGACCATAGAGCCCACCTGTGAGTTTTCTTTTGGGCAGAAACTGCAGTACTTCGCTTTTGTTTTTAAATGTTACTGTATTAGGCTTCTAAACTCTCAACTATTTATCTGAAGCTATATTTCTCATCTTCTTTGCTTTCTTTGTAGATGTAAATGTGTGTTTATATTTTGCAAATTTTAGAGACCATGAGAAAACTTAAGTTTGATCTTACTCTGTTTCTATTTCTTTGTGTGTATGTGTGGAGAGAGAATTTTATAGGTATATAATCTTTTTCTTTCCATTCCCTTGTACAAAATGAAGTCATACTCCATGGTGCTTCCACATCCTGGCTTGTCACTTAATTCTTCCCTAGAATGCTACCACTCCATTTTGAGAATATGATACAGAAATCTGCACATACGTTGGGATTACAATTACCTTTCAATGTGTACTATCAACCATTTATTTCCTGAGGCTTACTTGAATGAGTTCTGACTCTACATGCTTTCATTATATTTTAACTTCAAAGGAGATTCTACCCCTGCCAGATTAATTCTTTCAAGTTCTATGGTATAGAATGATGAAAGATTTTGATGTGAAAAAAGAATAATGTATCCGCATGTTAGGGCTGGTAGTAAAGGAACTAGTGAATGGAGATTGCTGAAGTGTGAATAGTGGGTTCTGTGGAGGAGCAGATGGGAGAGGAAATGAGGGTTGAAAAGAAATTCATAGGGCTGGGAAGGCGGCTCAGTGATAGAGCGCTTGCCTTGCATGCATGAGGACCCTGGTTCAATAACTCAGCACCACATAAGCAGAAAAAGATGGAAGTGGCACTGTGGCTGAAGTGGTAGAGCACTAACCTTGAGCTGAAGAGCTGAGGGAGAGCACTCAGGCCCAGAGTTCAGGCCCCATGACCGGACCCCCCCCCAAAAAAAAATTTATAGATGGGCTAGAATGTAGCTCAGTAGCAAAGTGCTCACCTAGCAAGTCCAATTTCTTGGGTTGGATCCCTAGTATGAAAAAGAAAGAAAGAAAGAAAGGAAGAAAGAAAGAAAGAAAGAGGAAGAAAGGAAGGAAGAAAGGAAGGAAGGAAGGAAGGAAGGAGAGAGAGAGAGAGGGGGAGGGAGGAAGGAAGGAAGGGAGGGAGGAAGAGGAAGGGGAAGGAGAAGGAAGGGAAAGGAAAGAAAAAAAATCCTTAGATTTCTTCTTCATTCCTCGAAGTTCTGAGGATAGAATCTAGTGCATGCTGTATTCCTGAGCTTCAAGCTCTGTCATAAGAAATCAATATATTGCTTGCAACTCACATTGGTTCCAGACATTTGAATAAAGACCTTGCATTATTTTAAGATTAATTTTATTTATTTATTTTTGATGCCAATCCTGAAGCTTGAACTCAAGGTCTGGGCACAGTCCCTTTGCTTTTTTGTTCAAGGTTAGATCTCTACCACTTGAGCCACAGATCCACTTTTGGATTTTTTATTTTTGGATAACTAGTTGGAGATAAGAATCTCAGGGACTTTCTTTGCCTGGGCTGGCTTTGAATTGTGATCCTCAGATCTTAGCCTCCTGAGAAGCTATGATTACAGGTCTGAGCCTCTGACATCTAGCTTGAGATTAATTTTTGTTCCTGGACTGTGTTCTTTAAGTCATTATTCTGAGACTGAACAATGTATATTCTTTCTTACTTAATTGGACTTAGTAAACCTATGTAAATTCACATTTGGAGTAAGTGATTGAAAGCCACTCAAAGAGATGCCTAGATGATGAAATTGCTTGAAGAAAACAAGATAAGCAAAACAGCCTAGGTCTCTGGCTCCCAAACCTTAAGATACATGTAACTACTGAGGACTACATTGCTGATGTCATTTTGTTATTTTTGAGGGGTGAGGATCTGTGAATATGCTTGTATCTTTATCATAGGATTTTAGTGCTTAGAGCATGAAAGCCAGACACCTCTAAACACTGTGTTCCATAGGAGTGGCTGAAGCTCAGCTATGGAAACATAAACTGAAAAATTTTTCCCTTGGATCACTCCCAAAACAAGTGTTAGGAGATTCTGTTTGCATGCTTCCTCACCACAGCTGCAGGAACATCTCCTCACTTCAGTGATAATTACTTCTCTCTCGTTGTTGAAATGGATAGATATATTACTCTAGACAGATAGATACATTATATATATTATATATTATACATAGATTAATCTGTATTTTCTTCTTGTTTACAAAATAAATATCTGTCTAATACTCTTTCTAATATCCACACAAGCTGCTTAATCACATTTCCCAGGGAAATATACATTAATAGAAACCCTTAATCAAAAGTCAATAGAAATGTGGAATATTGAAGTGAAAACAGACAGTTCTGCTTTTGAAGGAGATGTACTCTTGTTTGAGTAGAAATTTCCTCACCCCAAACCAACTTTTATTGTGGATTCATCACGTTGTTCACCTAAAAAACATCCAGTGAAATGATTGGGCTTACCCAAAGCTTTAAAAACCTGCCTGGAAAATGTTATATTCACCAAATGTTCTAAAGGTGACACTGCTTAATCTCACCCATTACAACATTATGCAGGTGACATTAGGAGATAGAATCACTGAGATGAATGTGAAAGACTGAAGGAAACCATCATCAAAGAAATAGGAAGATTACCAAACCGTTAACACAGGTTTGCAAGGAGGCTACCTTTGTGACTCTTTAGGGAATTCACCCAGTAACTGCCCAGAGGATGGAGAAGTCGGTGCCAATGTGATCCTTTGAGCCAAATTTAGCCAACAGATCATAATAAATGGCTCTTGCCTTACCAGGCATTTTTATTCAGTCTAATTTTGTTAGGTGATGTCATAGCATGTCCAAAAATAAAAGCTGTTCAAGTTGCTATTGTAAGCAGCTGTACTTTACCCCAGTAAAATGTCATACAGCTGAAAAGTTTTACTAGAAAAGTACAAAACAAAGGCAAACTTAAAAGCCAAGCCAATGGGACGTAATTATCTGCTAGCATAATTGTCTATGGGTTATTGCTCATGGTCTAGAGAAGGATCAAAACTGCAATGACAAAAACTTAAGATAACCATGGTTAGGACTTCAAAAAGCAATGTAGCAGCTGAGACTAGTTTAATTATTTCCATGGCATATAGGATTTTATGATAATAGGTATGATTGACAGCACTATGTCAGCACCATTGAAGTCTCCTACGATTTTAATACCTATAAATGTGTTTAAAAATGAAGTATGAGGAAAAAGGTCCTACTCATGATGACTCCTCAAATAAAAAGCAATTATTATTGATAACTATTTCTTTTTCCACCTTGCTTTCATAGGATGGATTTATTGACTTCACTGAATTTATTGCGGCTATAAATCTAGTTGTCCAAGGAAAAATGGAGCAAAAATTAAAATGGTATTTCAAGCTCTGTGATACTGATGGAAATGGGTCTATTGACAAAAAGGAGCTACTGAACATCTTCACGGTGAGTGGGTGTAGAATATCCTTTGCAAGACAGTATTTAGATAGCCAGTGGTAGCCCATGTTCTGTTTGGCTCTCTCGGGATGTGCGTAATGAGTTGTTGAAGCAATTCGTATTTTACATATATTTGGATTATTGATTGAACTGCAAACTAGAGCATGCTTCTTGGTGTAGAAAGTCTATGAGGAACAGGTAGAATATGAGATCTTGTATAAAAATAGAGCAAGAGACACCGACTAAGATTGAAGGTTATATGAGGGCTAATCTTTCTGGTAGCTGGACAAAAGTGTTAATAGTAGTACAAGATGTCAGGTACTTTTTACCTCTGAAACTCCATGGGTACCTTCATAAACCACTATAGCACCACCGCTGATCCCAATAGAGTCAAAGATATTTTCATGGACAAAAAAAGAAAATTTCAGTACAAAAAAATAATTAATTGAGATGCTGTATCCAAATACAAATAAGTGTTGCAATAAATATCATGAATAAAACACACTGAATTGGTAACATAAAATCGCAGAGTTAAAATCAGATATTTTAGATCCAAATTTGTTATTTTTTTAAAGAAGAAGCTGAGTTATAAAGAAAATATGTAGTGCAAATATGGGTGAACTGCAAGAAAAAATGAATAATTATAATAGAATATCTCAATGTATTAATGAAGAAAACAAAGTGGAAAGCAAAATCAGTAAATGTAGAGTTAACCAAATATGACATGAATTCAAGGGTATGATAATACCAGTATTGTTATCACTTCCATCTCATACAGTTCATTTACCACCACTCCCACCACAAAAAAATAGTCAGAATAAGTTTTCATTGAACTTCATAAACATTAACATTCAGAAATATTCTATATACCTCACATATTGCAGCGCAAAATTAGGAGAGTAAAATAACCTCTAGAGAGCATACAACTCTAAGTAAATTTGAAACCCTCTTCAATGCAAATACTCTAGGTTATTCTCCAAACAATTAAAATGTAAATATAGCACTTAGCTCTTAGGGAATGTCACCAAAGTATTAAATCAAAGCAAATTTCATAGAAACTTGGTAATTTAGTTTAAGAAATTAAGTTTATCTTTATTTTAGAATTAGAAGTATCCATTTCTGGCCTGGAAATACAATCATAAGAATAAAAGGTTCACAATTTACATCATAGAATCATTCAGATGAACTAAAAGAAAAATGTTTAATGTGGTGGAGTATGTATTTATTTAAAAGTGAATGGCAGGCTGGTTGCCGGTGGCTCATGCCTGTAATCCTAGCTACTCAGGAGGCTGAGCTCTGAGGATCAAGGTTTGAAACCAGCCCAGGCAGGAAAGTCCCTGAGACTCTTATCTCCAATAAATCACTAGAAAACCGGAAGTGGTGCTGTGGCTCAAGCGGTGAGTGTTTGCCTTGAGCTGAAGAGCTGAGGGACAACACCCAAGCCCAGAGTTCAAACCCCACGACTGACTGAAAAAAAAAAAGTGAATGTTATATGAACATTCTTTCTATACAATGCAAGGGAGAAAAGCAACAGCAGAGTTAAGAATGTGTGTGTGTGTGTGTATGTATGTCCATAGGAGGTAACACTGTTCAAAAAGAAATGTACTCATTACTTATGTAACTGTAACCCTTTACATTGCCTTTACAATCAAACTTTAAGAAAAGAATAATGTACACTACATAATTTATAGTTTATATACATATAGCAAGGATACCAAAATGGAATTAAACTCAGGTATCAAGAGATCACAAAAATACTACAATATAGAATGTTCAAGGGAAACACATAAATATTAATATCAATTTAATGGCACAAAAAGTCAAAGAAAAATGTATTAGCTTCATATTACTGTTACAAAATATCTGAGATAAACAACTTAAAAGGAGCAAAGATTTGTTTTGACTAATGGTTTCAGAGGTCTTTTCCCCTGGTTGTTTGACTATGTTGACCTTGGGTCTGGGGCAAAGCAGACTACTGTGGTAGGGAACACATGGGCTAAGGAAGGCTGCTCACTGACTTTAGCCAGAAAGCAAAGAAGGGGAGAAATTCAATATCTCTCTCAAGGCCATGCCCCAAGAACCTAACTTCCTCCCATTAGGCCCCACCCCCTAAAAGTTCCACCACCTTGTAATAATACCATAGGCTGGAGACCAAGCTTTTTAGCACATGGGCCTTTGGGGGATATTCTAGATCCAAACTATTGCAAAAGGGACATGGAGAAAAACTTCTTGTACAGGACCACCAAACTCAATAATGTACATTTAAAGAACCATTGAGAAGTGGATTTGTTCTGTTGTTTAAGAAACACAATGTTGGGGCTGGGAATGTGGCTCAGTGATGGAGTGCTTGCCTAGCATACATGAAGCCCTGGGTTCAATTCCTCAGTACCACATAAACAGAAAAAGTTGCAAGTGGCACTGTGTCTCAAGTAGTAGAGTGCTTGACTTGAGCAAAAGAAGCTCAGGGACAGTGCCCAGACCCTGAGTTCAAGCTCCAGGACTGGCCAAAAAAGAAAAAAGAAAGAAACCCAATGTTTGCGTATACAGATTAAGTGTGAGAAAGCTAAAGAAACAGATCATGACAGTAAAACGTGCATTGTGGGCACTGTTGGAGAAAAATCTGCATTCTTAGGATTTGTGGAGCAAAAACTGCTGAGGTGTTTTCCAGAGATCTGCTCTGCTACAGGCTTTTGAAAGAAACTTGTCTCAGATGTTGGCCACCAGGGCTACCAGGAGAAGTAAGATGAACTCAGGAGAAAAAAAAGCTAGAGAAACATCTCGAGTAATGGTTTGCAATAGCTTGAGACATTTCGGTTAATTGAGGAGTACAAGGTAATGCTATTGTTATTATTGGTTAGAGACCAGGAATGATGCTAGATATTCAACAGTGCCCAGAACATCCCTGGATATGAAAGAAGAATACTCTAGTCCAAAGTGTCAATGGTAGGATTGCTGAGCTGGACAGGGACCGTGGTGCAGGATTCACATCTGTGGAACTGCAAGAGTGAGACAATCTCAGTGATGAAGAAAGTGTATGTCAACAGAGAGTGGTTTAAATACCCTCAGAGAAGACCGCATTGGAGCTAGTTGACTATGACATTTACTATCAAGTAAGAATTTGCCCATTCCCCTTCTCTCCTAATTTCTCTGTAAAAGACTGACCAGCAAAGTGAAAGAGAGAGTACTTATGCTGAAAGGGGAAGGAAAGGAGGAAGGAAAACCATGGCTCCTTGTTCACTCCCACCCTGCTTCTTCTATAAAAAATGAGAGACAGATGAAGAGAAGAAAGGAGAGAATGCATTTGGAAATTAAATTCATATTCTACAAAATTAAGAAAAGTAAAGGAAGGGGTGAGAATGTTGAAAGGGGTGACATTGACCAAGATACATTGCATTCATAAACTGCCTTGTGAATGGCAACTCCTGTGAAGTAATTACACTTCAAGATAATTAAAGAGAGAGAGAGAAGAAAAAGAAAAGCAACAACTAGAATACTCCTTTCAAATCCTTTTAAGCCCTGTCATCCTTCCAACCAATATAGACAAATAAAAATTTATCACCTTTATATGCTACAAATCAAACTTTTATAATTTTTATATATAACTTTTATATACCATATGTTGCTTCAAAAAGGGGGGGTTATGAAACAGCCAAATTTCCAAACATTGAGAAACCCTGGAAATGTTCATCTAACATATTGCTACACATATGAATGCTTACTATTAATTCTTGTCTTGCCTTTTACTCAGATGGCTGAAATCTGAACTTGCTAAGGCTAAGAATGTTGTGTCAGTACTGTTTGTAATTAATAGTGTTTTAATCAAGATTAGGAAGGCAATTTCCAGATGAATAATTCACTTTTATTTTATTATGAATTTCTCTCTCAAGCCAGGGTCATTTAATTTAAGCATTTGGGGTTTGGGGTTAAATCTCCTTGCTAGAAAGCCTGGAAAATGTCATTTTCCTGGGGCTCCTAATGATGGAGAACCATCAATGATCCTGGATGGATATGACAGTTAATGTCCTTCTGAGGCAGATATATCTGTCTTAAAAAGGGCACAAAGAACCAGAGGTGCCAGTGGCAGAGGCCAGAAAACAAAACCTTGGACTCTTAGAGAGCTCTATTTGTCTGTAAGATACCAACAAATTGATCTAAAACTGAGAGCAATTCTCTTTTCAGAGATTTATTTATTTATCTACTTTTATTGTAAGGGTGATATACAGAGAGGTTACAGTTTCTTAAGTCAGGTAATGAGTACATTTCTTTTTGAAAAGTGTCACTCACCTCTTCCATCATTTTCTCCCAGTTTGTCCCTCCCAGTCCCCTCCCCAACAAGTTGTATAGTTCATGTTCAACATAGTGTCTTGTGACCACTACAGTATTTTCTCTGAGGGACTGCATCTTTTGTTGCCTAGCTTCAGGCTTTATGTGATATTCTTAGAACTCCTAACAACTGTTGATTTCATGTCCAAGACTCATTGCTCAGAGTTAACATGCAATCTTTATTTAGTTTACATTTATTAGCATAGATTAGTTGTACAAGAGATGTTTCATTGTCATAATTCTATTTTTATGATCAAATTCATCACTGTATCACTTTCCTTTGTCCCCCTTCTTCTCACTTAAAATAATTTCAACAACTTTCATTGTTCTATTTTGATAAATACATGTAAACTAAATCAATTATATTTATCCTCCTTCACCTTCTCCCTTTTTCTCATTCTCACTAGTAACTGCCACCCCCCACTAACAGAAGCTGTTTTATATTCCTGTCACTCAATTACAAAAATTTGTAATTTTTGTGCTGCATGTTATTTGTACAAGGGGTATTTTCCTAATATTCTACACAAGCATATCTTGTATTTTAATGAGATTAACTTCATTTAGCTGCTTCTCTTTTTCAATTTCTCTTACCCCTTCTATTATCTAACAACTCTCAGTGAGTGTTCTTATGGCATCTTCACACTAGACAGAATCTGTATTATTCACCCTCCATCATTTTCTTTTCCTCCCTTTTCATAAGTTGTAAGATATCCAAACTGCTTCCATAGCTTTGCTACTATGAATAATTCTGCAGTGAACATGAATGCACAAATGTCTTTATTTTTTCCTGATTTATACTCCTTTGAATAAATGCCCAAAGTAGTACTACTGGATCATAGAGGAGTTCTATTTTCAGTGTTTTGAGAAACCTCCATACTGAGTTCCATAGAGGTTGTACTAATTTACATTTTCACCAGCAGTGTATATGAGTTTATCCTTCCTCCATCCTCGCCAACACTGGTTGATATTTGTATTCTTCATGACAACCATTCTGACTGAAGTGAGTTGAAACTTCAGTATCATTTTGAGTTGAAATTTCTTTTATGGCCAGATATGTTAAATGTTTTTTTCTTTGAAAATTATCTGCTCATTTAATTTTCACATTTATTAATTGGACTCTTTTAGAGTTTCTTTTTCTAGCTCCTTTTATTTTCTAGCTATTAGTCCCTTTTCAAATACAAAAAGATTTTCTCCCAGTCTATAGTCTCCCTCTTCAGTATAGGGACTGCTTATTCAAAAGCTTATTATTTTAAGATAAACCCAATTTTCAATAACTTACTTGCATTTACTGAGTTAGTATTCTAGTAAGTTATTTTCTATGCCTATATGCTTTAGTAGTTTCTCTTGTTTTCTCTATAGTAATTCCAAAGTCTCAGGTCTTACATTTAGGGGTCTTTGATTCCCTCTGAATTGGTATTAGTTCAAGGGAAGAAACTGAGGTTTAATTTTAGTTTTCTACATGTGGACATCCTCAACACCATTTGTTGAAGAGTCTGTCTTTTTGATCATTTCAACAGATATGAAAATACCCATTGACAAAATTCAGTATCTTTTAATGATAAATGCTCTAAAGAAACTAAGAGTTGAAGGCATACACACAACAAACCTATAGCCAACTTTGCATTAAATGAAAAACTGAAGCCATTTCTTTTTTTCTTGCTATTGTTTCTCTTTTTTATTTTATATATTTTTTAATTGTTAAAATACTGTACAGAGGAGTTACCATTACATGGGCAAGGTAATGAGTACATTTCTTATCAAGCATTGTTGACTCCTCCTTTGTTTCCCCTTCCCATCCCTTCCCATTCCACCTCCCTCCCCCCCCCCCCCCCCCCCCGCCAAAGTTGTAAAGTTTGTTTTTCAACTTAACATCTTATGCATCTCATTGTGAAACCATTTCTTCTATAATCAGTCAAGGAAATTACTCTCTCCATTATTGTTCAGCATAGTGCTAGATTTCATGGCCAGAACAATAATGCAGGATAAAGAACTCAAAAGGATTTACATGTATAAGGAATAAACCAAAGTGTCCCTCTTTGCAGATGATACGATTCTATACTTAAAAGATTATAAATACTCCATCAAGAAAAATTTAGTTTTCTCCAATTAGCAAGATACAGAATCATCAGTAGGCTTTTGGATTCTAACAATAAGCAGTTCAAGAAAGAAATCAGGAAAACAAACCAATTCAAATAGCCTTCCTCTCCAAATACAATACTCAGGACTAAATTTAACTATGGAGGGGAACGACTTCTATAATGAAAACTATAATCACTGGAAAAGAAATCAGAAGCATCCACTAGTAGAAAGACATCCCATGTTCATGGATCAGTAGAAATAATATTGTGAAAATGTCTATGCTACCCAAAGCAATGTATATATGCAATAGAATCCCTCTAAAAAGGGGCTGGGAAGGTGGCTCAGTGGTACAGCGCTTGCCTTATAGGCATGAGGCCCTGGGTTTGATTCCTCAGCACCACATAAGCAGAAAAAAAAGCCGGAAGTGGTGCTGTGGCTCAAGTGGTGGAGTGCTAGCCTGAGCTGAAGAGCTGAGGGACAGCGCCCAGGCCCAGAGTTCAGGCCCCACGACCGTACCAAAGAAAAAAAAATCCCTCTAAAAAATCCAATAACATCCTTCACTGAGATAGAAAAATCAATCTTAAAGTTCATATAAAAAGCAAAGAAAGATGTGAGAAATGTATTCATTATCTGACTTATGTAACTGTAGCCCATCTGTCTATCACCATTATAATAACAATAAAACATTTTAAGTTCAAATAAAAACCCTCCAGTAGTCAAAGCAAGAAGGGATCATATCTGAATTCAAACTATGCTATAGTAGCATATTAGCAAAAAGCAGCATAACATGGGCACAAAAACATGCTCATAGGCCAATGGTAAGAAAAGAAGACCCAGAAATAGCTCCATTCAGTGATAGTTAGCTGATTTTTTTTTCCTGGTCATATTTTTTTATTTTTGCAAACTTCAAAACACTAATTGAATTGATGATCTTACTGTGACAGATAACTTGGCTGTGTGTAACACTGGCTAAATTAATATTATTAAAGCAAAAGGGGAGTTCTTTTGGAAAATATTATGGATTGAATTATTTTATCCTCCTAATTAGCTTCTGTGTGCAAATCATTATTATGAGATGGTCACACGTGATTGTCCCCCATGCCTCAGTTTCCCCATATGTATAATGTTAGGAGCTGTGATTCTACTGCTGAGCCATATTAAGTGTGCTTGCTCTACTAGTTAGCTGATTTTTGACAAAAGTGCCAAAAAATATACATTGGTAAAAAGACAGTCTAGTTATTTTTAACAACTAGCACAGTGTATGTAGCAACACTAACACTGATGTATCCTCAAATTTTGTCACATTAGAGCAGAAACATGACAAAAAGTATGTGCTTCCAGAAAATTAAAGCCTATGATTTAATGTCTCTTTGCAGGCTGTCCAAGCTCTTAACGGCCAACAAACTTTGAGTCCAGAGGAATTCATCCACTTGGTGCTTCATAAGATTGACGTAAACAATGATGGTAAGGGAGCTTCTTTTCTCAGGCTTACTCCTCTTACAAAGGAGGAAATTGGGGCAGGAAGTGTCATTCAGAGAACTGAAGAAAGGTCCTCAAGAGAGGCCTAGCTGATACTTAGGCTTCATAAGTTGATCAATTCAATATTCTTTAGTAAGGATACTTAAACTGAACAAACATGTGTTGATCACGTGTACATTTCACACGTGGCACTTGATCCTTTGGGGGATGTGAAGGAGAGCGAAGGGTTTTGGAGGAGTACCTTCTACCATTTGTTCTGGGATACTATCTAGTAACTATTACCTCTAGTGGAGATTTTCTATTAATTTATTCACGTTTGTCTTACTGTAAAAAAAACTTTACTTCAATCATGTTGCCTTCTATTATCATACTTTTTTTTCTTCCTGATGACCTTTTTTTTCTATAAAGGTGTACATGTTTGGCTGTATAACACCAGCTCTTTTTATCTTGAAATCTAGCTTCCTAATCAGTGGTGTTTTTTGTTGTTGTTGTTGTACAGAAGCACACACCGAGAGAGAGAGAGGGAGAGAGAGAGAGAGAGAGAGAGAGAGAGAGAGACAGAGAGACAAAGAAACGGAGAGAGACAGAGGGAGAGAGAGACAGAGAAAGAGAGAAAGAGAGAGGGAAGGAGAGAGGAGGCGAGGGAGAGAGAGAAGAGAGAGAGGCATTCCAAGAGAAGTGAATTCATGTACCAAAGGACTTTGATATCAGTGAATGGGTAGGTGAACATTGGACTTGAGGTCAAATGTTCAAAAGAAGAAAAATAAAGCAATGTGAAAATTATAATCTGTCAAGAAAAGAATGAGAAGCATACAGACATGGTTTTCTTCAATCTATGAGGATTACGTTTTTTTTTGAAATTTAATTTAATTTTAATGTAAAGGTGATGCGCTGAGGGGTTACAGTTACATATGTAAGTTCTTGTCGAACATTGTTACTCTTCCCTCATTCTCCCAATTTCCCTCGCCCACAATTCCCCCCCCCCAACAAGTTGTAAAGTTATCACTGTTCTATTGGTTTGCCATTTGTCTCACCATTTTGTTATTCTCCTTCATTTCCCCAAATCAGATATCAAAATCAAAAGTAGTGACAACAGGGGATAAACCAAGGGGGGAAAAGGAAAGACAAATGAAAGAACAAAACTAAAACTAGAACAAAAATAATCCTCGTGTTGGGCTGGGAAGGTGGCTCAGTGGTAGAGCGCTAGCCTTGAGCTGAAGAGCTGAGGGACAGTGCCCAGGCCCAGAGTTCAGGCCCCATGACCAGACCCCCCGCCAAAAAATCCTCCTTTCCATCTTTCTATAAGCATCATTTTGTATGGTCATATGAACATAGTTTTCAGTCACTGTGATCTTCTGCTAGACTAGACATATATTAGTTATCACAAATGAAGAAACCATGGAGCCTGTGTTTCTCTGCATCTGGCTTCCTTAGCTCCTGCACTATTGGTGGGAATTTAAACTGGTTCAACCATTCTGGAAAGCAGTATGGAGATTCCTCAAAAGACTAAACATAGCACCTTTGCTAGCAAGATCTAGCTAGCCAGATCAATAGAAAGCCTATGGATTGGGAGAAGATCTTCACTAGTCATACAACAGACAAGGGTCTCATATCTAAAATATACTTAGAACTCAAAAAACTCAATCTCCCAACAACAAATCTTCAAAGAAACAACTGCCCCACAAATAAGTAGGCTAAAGACTTAGAGAAACTTCTCTAAGAGGAAATAATAGTGGACAATAGACACATGAAGAAATGTTCAACTTCTTTAGCCATAAAAGAAACACAAATCAAAACAACATTGAGATTCCACCTCACCCCAGTTAGAATGGCTATCATCAAGAACTCTAATAACAACAGATGCTGGAGGGGATGTGGCCAGAAGGGAACTCTACTGAATTGTTGGTGGGAATATAAACTTGCTCAACCACTTTGAAAAGCAGTATGGAGGTTCCTCAAAAGACTCCACATAGAGCTCCCCTATGACCCAGCAATC